GAGACAAAACAATCTCTTAAATAAGCCCAGAAATGTGGGACATCCAAAACCACTTCTGGATATACTTTATGCATCATACAGAAAAATCACACACACAACACACACATCACACACACACACACACACACACACACACGATGACGTGACGACTGCTATTACATCCACTGGATTCATACTTTTAATACTAACAGAAAAGAAGGCTGCCTACATTTCTGGGTGATTTCTGCTGTCCAGCTAGTAATAATAATTGTATACCTACTGTGCATCCAGCCTTGTGATGCTTGAAATACATTCTCAATGATGAATGCACTTTCTAGACCCTGCCTCTCTCTCTCCCTATTTTTTTGGGGGTGGGAGGGGCTCATATTGAGCCTTATCGTGGTCTGACTCTGGGGTAGCCTCTTCTGACATTCTATATTGTTCTGTTTTTACAGGACAGACCAAGAAATCCAGACCTATACCATTGCAGTGATTAATGCGCTTTTCCTGAAGGCTCCTGATGAGAGAAGGCAGGTAAGCACCACTTCTTTAGTCCTGAGACTGTGTCCGGGGCTGGAAGCTTCTTGTGTAGGGAAAGCCCTCTCCTTCCCATCGGGTGACTCCTTGGGCCGCTCTGCCGCTCTGCCCACAGGTGGGTGCCCCAGAGCACCAGTGTTCTGCAGCTGGCTGGCCAGCCTGGGATCGTTCACAAATGCAGGGGGAAGTAGATGGAGATGGGTAAGCCCTTGATTGATGAAGAATGCTAGGAGTGTTCCAGAAGTAGAGCCCTTTCATGATACGAAATCCAATGTAGAAGCCCAAACATAAAAAGAAGAAAGCAGAATGCTGTGGTGGAGGCAGAGTCGGAAGCCCCTGTGATCTTCCTTCGTCTTGTCAGATGCTCAGTGGGGTGAGGGAGGTGTGTCTCTATCTTCTGGATGAGAAAACAGAGACCTTGAGAGGCACCATGCTTTGCCCAGGAGGTGGGAGATGAGATGGAGAGATGAAAGGACAGGAGGGAAATGTGCAGAAAGCTGTCCTTGGTGAGATGACTGTGTTCTATGTAAGAGGGGCTCTGTGCTTGGTGGTGTTTCTTCATCCGTGGGTGGGTACAGCTGGGGGGACTGAGTGGTCCGTTTCTCTCCTCTGTGTAGAAAGAGGAGGGAGTCCCTTAAATGTACCCACATGAGCCTGTCGTTTGATACTCTCCTCTGTCTGTAGATCCTTTGTTTCTTTTTTAACTAGAGAAAGGACCATTACAGAGGCGGATATGGAAGAAATGGCATTTGACATGTCTTGCAATTTAGCTCACACCTCAAAATCCACTCATGTATTTTCTATCAACATAGCATATAATATGTTGCCCTGCTCACAAGTCACTTCCTTTAAGGACTAGGTGGAAATGTGAGATCGCTCAGCCATCAGTAAGTGTCCTGGGGAGCTCACCAACAGTTACCCATGAATTGTTTTAGAAGAATTTAGAGAGCTAACCTGCGACTGAACACTGTCAAGAATTTTATTTTATTTTTTTCGTTGCCAAAGATTTTAAACCCCACTGACTAAATGTGAGGGGTTCTGCTTTGTTTTCCACTTAGAATTGCGTGTTCATTGTTGGAGGCTCCCTTTGCACAGTGAGTGGTGTCACTTTACAGTTAGTTTTCTGTGCCTTTGATTGGGTGTTGGCTGGAGCCGGCAGGAGGTGCCTGCCCTCCCCGAGCCTGTGCTGGGGCACTCTTACCCACGCTGGATTTTAAGAGTGGCTTTGCAGATCTGACGGGAGGGATCGTGGGTGGGGCTGCCCTTTGATGTTTGCATCTAAGTACCGAGTGCACGAGAGCTCCCATGCAGCCCAGGAAATTGCCTGCAGTTCTTAATGTGCCCACCCACAAGCCTGACGTGGGCATGGGAGGAGCCGGTCCTCCTGCTGGCCAGACCCTGGGCGTTGGCCACACCACGTGATGGTTGAGTGTAGCTGTGGGCGTTGGGAAGGCTGCATTCGGGTCTAAACTCCTGCGAGTTTCCTTTCCCCATCTGTGGAAGAAGAGGTTGGATTAGAGGATTGAAAGCTCACGCCTTCCCCAAGGCTGTGCTGTCACTTGGATCTCTGCATCTAGACATGAGTAAGATGCTCTTTGCATCTTAGTTTACACCAAATGCTACTGTTCACATGTGGAATTGGACTCTAGTGACTGGGGACAAATAGGGAATCAGGTGTCACTCTGTACTGATGTCAGGACAATAGGAATACAGTGGAGTACTAACATAACATTAGGTTTGGGTTCTGTGTATCAAAGCTTTTTCTGAAATTTGTGCAATATGAGACTGATAGGACACAGTTTGGCCATATATTGCTATAACAGTAATAAACCACCACAAGAGAAGTCTAATAACCTTAAACCATTTAAGAAAACAATCCAGTTAAGAAAGAGTATATATAATCCAGCGGAAATTTACAAAGTATTATATGACTAATTCAGTCTTTGAAATAAAAATAGCTACAAGGTATTTACTTGTCCATGGAAAATTGATGTGGACTTTATAAACTGTGTTCAGTTGAAGACTTCTGTCAAAACAAAGAGTATTTTGCTTTTAATTTTTTTAAAATTTTTTTCAGTGAGTTAACTAGAGAGTTAGCTCTAAAAAATGATTTAAAATTCTTACTAAAGAAAAGTCTGTTTGATATTATTTTCTAAAGGCCAATGTAGGCCTGTAAAGCAGAAGATTAAACTAATTGGTGGTATCACCTGGGTTGCTGTAGACACTGTTAACAGCCGAAAGCATATACCTCTGTCTGGACTCTATGCTTATAAAGTAAAGTAACGTTTTAGCTGGCCTGAATTTGACTTTGACATTGTTACTGGCATATGGTCTGAAAATTTTAAAGTTCTGAATTTTTTTGGCAAATAGGAAATTTTACCAAAGTCTGCTGTTAATGAAAATATTATTCATAGTCTTCCATGTGCCAGGCTTGGTGCTCAGTGTTTTCTATTTTGTTATTTCATTTAATTCTTATATTAAGAAAAAGCCATATTATATCTGTTTTACAAATGAGGAGAATGGGATTCAAAGGAAGTAATGAACTTGACCAAATCCTTAGCTGTAAGAATCAGAATTAGAATCCCAACCTGGTCCTTGCTTTTACAGGCAAAGCATCCCATCAAAACTCAATCAAAGAGGTGCCGCTCATAGAATTCTCTTCTGTTTGCCAAGTAAATTCCCTGACACCCAAAAGACACCAAGCACATTTTCTCTCTCCAGTTAGATTAAAATATAATTTAAACATTTATTTATTGGATTTACAGGAGCACCTTTGTTATTTGGTTTGTTTAAAACCTTAGGACATTGGCTAAATTCCACTTCAGTCAAATGCTTTATTATTATTTATTTCAGCTTCTCTTTCTGACTTGGGGCCAAGCACATTCATAAGACTCCATTATTTGGGTTTTCTTTATTTTTCAAAATGTATGAAATGAGTTTGGGATGATTTTGAACACCTATACCTTATGTCTTCCTTTACTGAAGAAAAATACCTGAGTAATCTTTTTCTCTAGCGTTCAGGGAATGGGCCTCACTGACAGAGCACCAGGGCCTGGGCTAGGACGTCCTCCTCTGACCCCCCACAGGCGCCCCACAGGGGTGGTGGCCACGTCCTGTGCCAGGATGGAGGGGAGTGTCCCTGTCCCCGCACAAGTGCAGGGAAGGGCGCTTGCTTTTCGTGGGCGAGGAGCTGGCTGTTAGGTGAGCAAGTGGATCCTTTTTCTTACAACTGTTTGCTGTTATTCAGTTTACTATTTTAATGGCAATTATGTTGGCAAGATTCCTTAGTTAAAATATTTAGTAGAGGGCTGGCCCGGTGGTGCACTGGAGAGTGCGCCGCTTGGGAGCACGGCGGCGCTCCCGCTGAGGGTTCTGATCCCATATGGAGACCGGTTCCTGCTCACTGGCTGAGCGCAGTGCGGGCGCAACACCGAGGGTTGCGATCCCATTACCGGTCAGTAAAAAAAAAAGACAAAAAAAAAAATTTAGTAGAAAAATCAGAAAATACAGATATGAAGGAAGGGTGACAGACACCCATGGTTACATTTCTGTAGAGAGCAGCTACGGTTGCCACATCCCATGTGACGTCGTGGCGCCACCTGTTCTCCTGCCTGTATCATTNTGTGTATCAAAGCTTTTTCTGAAATTTGTGCAATATGAGACTGATAGGACACAGTTTGGCCGTATATTGCTATAACAGCAATAAACCACCACAAGAGTAGTCTAATAGCCTTAAACCATTTAAGAAAACAATCCAGTTAAGAAAGAGTATATGTAATCCAGCGGAAATTTACAAAGTATTATATGACTAATTCAGTCTTTGAAATAAAAATAGCTACAAGGTATTTACTTGTCCATGGAAAATTGATGAGGACTTTATAAACTGTGTTCAGTTGAAGACTTCTGTCAAAACAAAGAGTATTTTGCTTTTAATTTTTTTCAGTGAGTTAACTAGAGAGTTAGCTCTAAAAAACGATTTAAAATTCTTACTAAAGAAAAGTCTGTTTGATATTATTTTCTAAAGGCCAATGTAGGCCTGTAAAGCAGAAGATTAAACTAATTGGTGGTACCACCTGGATTGCTATAGACGCTGTTAACAGCCGAAAGCGTATACCTCTGTCTGGACTCCGTGTTTATAAAGTAAAGTAATGTTTTCGGTGGCCTGAATTTGACTTTGACATTGTTATTGGCATATGGTCTGAAAAATTAAAAGTTCTGAATTTTTTTGGCAAATAGGAAATTTTACCAAAGTCTGCTGTTAATGAAAATATTATTCAGTCTTCCATGTGCCAGGCTTGGTGCTCAGTGTTTTCTATTTTGTTATTTATTTAATTCTTATATTAAGAAAAAGCCATATTATTTCTGTTTTACAAATGAGGAGAATGGGATTCAAAGGAAGTAATGAACTTGACCAAAGGGGGGGGGGGGGGAATCAGAATTAGAATCCCAACCTGGTCCTTGCTTTTACAGGCAAAGCATCCCATCAAAACTCAGAATTCTCTTCTGTTTGCCAAGTAAATTCCCTGACACCCAAAAGACACCAAGCATATTTTCTCTCTCCAGTTAGATTAAAATATAATTTAAACATTTATTTATTGGATTTACAGGAGCACCTTTGTTGTTTGGTTTGTTTAAAACCTTAGGACATTGGCTAAAGTCCACTTCAGTCAAATGCTTTATTATTATTTATTTCAGCTTCTCTTTCTGACTTGGGGCCAAGCACATTCATAAGACTCCATTATTTGGGTTTTCTTTATTTTTCAAAATGTATGAAATGAGTTTGGGATGATTTTGAACACCTATACCTTATGTCTTCCTTTACTGAAGAAAAATACCTGAGTAATCTTTTTCTCTAGCATTCAGGGAATGGGCCTCACTGACAGAGCACCAGGGCCTGGACTAGGACGTCCTCCTCTGACCCCCCACAGGCGCCCCGCAGGGGTGGTGGCCACGTCCTGTGCCAGGATGGAGGGGAGTGTCCCTGTCCCCGCACAAGTGCAGGGAAGGGCGCTTGCTTTTCGTAGGCGAGGAGCTGGCTGTTAGGTGCGCAAGTGGATCCTTTTTCTTACAACTGTTTGCTATTTTTCAGTTTACTATTTTAATGCCAACTATGTTGGCAAGATTCCTTAGTTAAAAAATTTAGTAGAAAAATCAGAAAATACTGATTTGAAGGAAGGGTGACAGACACCCATGGTTACCTTTCTGTAGAGAGCCGCTACGGTTGCCACATCCCATGTGACGTCGTGGCGCCACCTGTTCTCCTGCCTGTATCATTNGCTACGGTTGCCACATCCCATGTGACGTCGTGGCGCCACCTGTTCTCCTGCCTGTATCATTTTTTCACTGACAGTGAGCATACTACATGCGATTTTTTTTTAACTGACTAAAACTAAACAATGTTTCATGGACATCTTTCCATGTCAGTGCATCTACATCCGTATTTATATCTATCTGTACTTTCACGTCATTTCAGAGCTGTAAAATATTTCCCATGGATTCTCAAGTTTGCTCAAATAATTTCCTTAATAATGAATAAAAAAGTCCATGATGTGGACAAGGATATTTCTATTTTCTCTCTGACTGAGCTCCTGTTGTCAGGACTATAGTATAAAATATTCATTTGTTCCATCATCAGACATTTACTGTTTGCTCAGTGCCAGACATTGGGTTTGGGGGTTGGCATACAAAGAATAAGACAGTCTCTGTGCCTGCAAGGAACCCATGGTCTCATTCAAAAGATAAATATTGTAAATAGATAATTACAATAATTGCTCCATAGATGTTGAAAATATATTGTCCTTTCTAACTTACTTTAAAATCATATAAATCATAGGCTAAATTTGGCACAGAGAGAAATTTTTGTTTCTTCATTTGTGTCTATTGGGCAGTAATTTTATTTTATAAAAGAAAAGAANTTGTCAGGACTATAGTATAAAATATTCATTTGTTCCATCATCAGACATTTACTGTTTGCTCTGTGCCAGACATTGGGTTTGGGGGTTGGCATACAAAGAATAAGACAGTCTCTGTGCCTGCAAGGAACCCATGGTCTCATTCAAGAGATAAATATTGTAAATAGATAATTACAATAATTGCTCCATAGATGTTGAAAACATATTGTCCTTTCTAACTTACTTTAAAATCATATAAATCGTAGGCTAAATTTGGCACAGAGAAAAATTTTTGTTTCTTCATTTGTGTCTATTGGGCAGTAATTTTATTTTATAAAAGAAAAGAAATTTAGAGCACTGTAGGGTCCTTTGGGTCTTTTTGTTTGTCATCTGGTCCAAGGAAAAAACTAAACAAATAAAATAAAGCTTTCTATGTGGACCGGGAAGACAGCACTGCTTCCTATGCACAGTGGAAGGGAAGGTGCCTCCTGGGTCACCATTCAGCTTGACTCTGAACGTATCTTCCCCCTGCTTTCTTGTTTTCAGGAGCATGAGGAGGACCTAGAATTGGATTTTGACTTTACTGCTCTCTAGCCTTTTTGAATCACCTTACGCTATGTACGCACTTGTCAGTGCAGCGGGTCACAGGGGTGTTCAAATAAAGCTGCCAGCCTCTAACAGAGTCCTCTGAATTTCCATCCCTTCTCTCCTGCTTGCTTTCCTTTCTGTGGTGGCGGTGGTGCCGTTAGGTTGATGTTGAGAGCAGTGTTGACATCCTTGATTGTCCTCTGACTGTAAGTCACCACGTTCCCTTTGTCAATGTGAGTAGGCCCTGCTGTCCCTTCTGCTGCCACCCAGCCCTGCTTGTATGACCCCCAAGTGTGTCCCCCGTGTTCTTGGTTTGCCTTGCTTTCTGCAAGTTTATTTTAACCTTGGTAGATTCATGGTTGTGTTCTTTAATTGTAGCTTAGTTTCTTATCTACTCAGTAAGAGTAGCAACTCCAAAAATACCCCCTACCGAAAAACAGCACTCAAGTGTCTTCCTGGATATGAGCAGTATTTTTATTTTGAACACATGCACCAAGACTGTGTGCCGCTATTTCATTTTCCCTTAGTATCGACTTATCCATATTATTTACAAAGGGAGCCGGTGATTCATCTGGTTTAACAAAATCACCTGAGAATCCTCTGTGCCACTCAGGAAATGCTGAAGCACAAAGCACAACCTGCAGAAACGAGGCCCAGCAGAGCTGAAGCGGAGTGTGCACTCCAGAGCTGGGCATCTGCCCGGGTATCTGTCCTTTGCTAAGACTCCACTCGGTTCATGGGCATAGCCTATGTTCAGGTCCTGGGCTGTGTGCTCTGCACTCTTGGGTTGTGCACAGGCTGAGATGAAATGGCTTTTAGAAGACTTAGATCTCTTAAGAGGTGGTTCTCTAATACGGGAGCCTTTGCTGCAGGCAGGGGCTGCCTGACCCAGGCTTTCCGCTCACACATGGTCTAATAAAAGATGACGGGCCCTTCTACTGGAGAACCATTGCTTTCGTTTGGAGTGTTTGATTTTTATTTACCACTCACCTTTTTCTGGAAGGAGGAAATTTAAAAAAAAGAAGTTTGCAAGTGCCCGATTTTCTTTCTTTGCTTCTTGTACATGACTTTTATCATCTAAAATGGAACATTCAAAACATAATTGGAATACCACTGCCTGTTTGAGTTCATTATTTCATAAGAAATACTGCTGATATACAGTTACGAAGCACACCCCAGGATAAAGTCATTTTTGGCTCTGTCTAAATGTATCTTTCTAACCTAAGCTTTTGTGTGGGTGTGTTTTTCTTCAACAGGAGATGGCGAATATCTTGGCTCAGAAGCAGCTGCGCTCCATCATTTTGACCGTGAGTACCCTGGGCTGCGACGCTTTGTCGGGGAAACGTGGCCTCGCACACTGATCTGTCCTCTCTTTCAGCCTCAGTGTGTGGTTTTCTGGGACTTGCTTCTGTGGCGAAGTGGCAGGAACTATAAAGGAGGAAAAAGTGTGCTTTTGGAATTGGAATAAATAAGGCTTTCCCACAGGAGTTGCCTCATAGGATTGGAGAGAGGAGTCTGGCTCTGCTCGAGAGAGTCAAGGGAGCAGGTTCTGGCAGGAAAGGCTGGAATTCTCTCTCAGTGGGGCGGGCTTCTTGCATCCACCACAGCCGTAGCTTTGCATTGAAGGAAATCACGGGCTCCACGGCTTACAAAACCCATCAGTATGAGCTTTGACCGTTTTTCATGAGAAAGCTAGCTGGAAACCTATCAGGCCCTGAAAGATGTCCTGAAACTTTGACCCTTGTTTTCGTGGGATCCCTTGCAAGAGGGAGGAAGGAAAGACTTACATAGGAACCACTCATCCTCTGCAGTGCAAAGATGACTTTATACCTCTGTGGAAAAGAAGCCCTCAATGTCATGCTGTGAATGTTTAGAAATAAACCAAACAGCGAGATTTCCTGAGGCCTTACTAGCTACCTGACTTACCAGGTACTAGGAAGAAGCATGCTAGATTGATCTCCCTGCTTGCCGAAGAAACAACAAAAAAAGAGAAATTGTTTCTGTTTATGGGATTCCAAAGAGGAGTTCAGCAGGTTTACAATTAAACACAGACACACCGTTTTGAAATGTAGCTTTTATTACTATTCAGGGATGGTGCGCTCAGGAGATTAGAAGATGACTATCATTGAAAAGAAAGTTGGTTACTTACAGTTCCCCAAAGAAGTGGGCACACCATGCCATGGGGGCCACAGGGGAAGCACTGGGGTCCTCCAGGAGCAGGACCTGTGGGCAAGGCCTTTAGGGAAGGACCAGGTGAGGCCAGGTAAACTAGCTAAGTGGGTTTAGGATTGGCCAGTTTGAACAATTTTGCTAGGATCTGGGGGTTATGGGCTGTCTCTAGTTGTCTGGTACCTGGCCTTAGGTGATTAGGGGAGGAGGATAGTGACCCTGAGTGTAAAAGAGCCTGAAATAGGAGAGTTGAGCTCTGGCCTGGTTCGTTTACATGTGAAAGGAGTCATTTATTCTCTCTAGAGAATGGCTACGCCTGAGAGTGGCCGTCTCTCCAGGGTTAGCAAGGCCTCAGATGGTAAAGCCTCAGAAACACGTGCTTAACACACACTCATGCCCACACACACAGACTTCAATGCAAGGAAGCCATGAAAAATTAAAAGCCTTTTGAGGGCAAAGGAAATAAATGTTCTAGAACCCAATGCCAGTGGTAATGACTACAATTTGCAATCAAGTTTGTTTTTAAACTTCCTGGCTGTCAAGAATGGAGAGAAACATACGAGTGTAATTTTCATTGTTGGATGAAAAGGTGTCCCCGTCCTCATGGGTGACACACTTCTTTCCCTGGCATTCTAGGTCCAGTTATGGTTTTATGTTATGGTCCTTCTCTATACAGGCTCTCAGTAAAAGTAGAAGCTACACTGTCAGAGTGGGCTTCAGTGAAGGTGATTGTGCAAGGGAGGAGTGGCGGATGAAGGGTTCGGAATGCTGAGTCAAGCAGGTCTTGCCCTGTTCTGATGTCACGTTGGTGGCCCAGAGGAATGAGGGGGTGGAATGACGGTAGCCACCCTGTCTCAGAGGTCGGCTGGCTTCAGGGGGACTTCTGTGAGACGCTGGAGGCTGGAAATTCAAGGCTGGCATCGCCAGCAGGAACTTGCAGGACAGGTACTTTGAGGTTGCTTATAAAATAGATGCCCATAGACTTTGGCTACTGAAGTTGTGTCACGCGTTAGCATTGTGTTCTGAAGACTGAAGGATACAGGGGCGCGGTTTCCACCCCTCAGCCCATTGTCTAGCTCCTCCTTCTCCCATAATTTTGGTTCAGTGGCTGTGTAATGTGTCACCTCCCCATCCTCTTCTAGTCCTCATTTTCCCGCCCCTCCTTCTATAAGTGGCTGTCTCAACAGGGTGCTCAGAGCCAGTCTGTGGACTCCAGGCGCATGGCGGGTACCATGTAGCACCCACGCAGCACCTTGAGGACCTAGATGTCCTCCAGTTTGGCTGTGAGGTCATTTTTTTCCATACTGGGCAGCTCCATTTAATGAACGATCGTGTAGAAGTCCGATTACAGCGGTCTACCCAGTAGCAACAGTGCAGTGCTAAGAGAAGCGCACTTTCAGAGAGCAAGATGTGGCTGGACCTCGCCCGTTCAGACCTGAATCACGGGGTGCTTCACAGTGTCAGCTGGTTGTTTGGCTTCTTTTAGGTATAACCCCCAAGGTCTCTGCCAAAGGGATGTATGTTAGGCCCAAGTGTTGAGTTGGGGCAGCTGTCCTGTTTCTGTGCAAAACCCAGCTCTGGTGGGGCGAAGGCCCGCGTATCCAGCCTTCGTGACACTCCTCTTATATTTGTTCTGTTTTCAGTTCTGTTTCTATGGGGAAGAGTCATTTTATTTTTCATTTAATTGTCAACAGGTGAATAAAGTAGTGCACAAGCGTTTACTCACTGCATTGTGACGGTGGTGCTTGTACAGTTCACAAATCTAAAGCATTTCCCCATTTGGAGGGGGGATCACCTATCAGAGGCGGTCCTGGGGCCAGTGGCTGGCAGAAGTGCTTCCCGTAGGCAGGCACTGCTGGCTCCTGTGCTGCATGTGAGGTGTGCTGCTGCCGCAGAAACCCACAGCGTCCGCCAGACCCTCTCATCTCGGGCACACCGTCTCTTGATTTACAAGGCTGCGGCCACCCGTCCCTTTCCAGCACCTTCCTCCTTTCTGCCCCCTCTTGCACACAGCAGGTCTTTTCCTGGATTCTGGCCTAAAGGTCAGGAATCTGTCTGGGCCCTGGAATGTGAAGGAAAGCTCCGAGGTCTTAGGGTCCTTACTTTCCTTCTGGAGGGACGTTCCTCGAGTCTCCATTCCCTGCACTCGGATGGAGACTGCTGCGGTTCTACTTGGGGTAATAATGAGGGCTGATTGTTGTTCGCTCCTTCCTTCCGTCTTTTCACTTCATTTGTTACCCGTCTTCCTAGCACGTCATCCGAGCCCAGCGGGCCATCAACAACGAGATGGCGCACCAGCTGTACGTCCTGCAGGTGCTCACCTTCAACCTCCTGGAAGACAGGATGATGGCCAAGATGGACCCCCAGGACCAGGTGCGTGCTCCCCGGACAGCAGTCACAGCATGCGAGGGACAGCAAGCGCCATCAGAAGTCTTTGCTTGAGCTACCCTGAAACCAGGAGTTTTAGATGATGTTATGGTTTTATTATCATCTCAGAACTTGCGGGCATGGCTTTAAAATTTAGGTGAATTTAGGATCAGAGAATAAAATAAATGGATTCCTCCATTAGTCCCCAAACACATGCCCACTTTTCCTTTATTGGATAAGAAAGCTTGATGTCATGTGGCTACAGACCTTGGTCCTTGGATGATGGCCAAGATGGACCCCCAGGACCAGGTGCGTGCTCCCCGGACAGCAGTCACAGCGTGCGAGGGACAGCAAGCGCCATCAGAAGTCTTTGCTTGAGCTACCCTGAAACCAGGAGTTTTAGATGATGTTATGGTTTTATTATCATCTCAGAACTTGCGGGCATGGCTTTAAAATTTAGGTGAATTTAGGATCAGAGAATAAAATAAATGGATTCCTCCATTAGTCCCCAAACACATGCCCACTTTTCCTTTATTGGATAAGAAAGCTTGATGTCATGTGGCTACAGACCTTGGTCCTTGATGCCAGTACCTTCAGTGGTTACAGCTTTGGAGCCAAGTCCCCAGACAAGAAGGGCCACTTGGTAGCTGTGTGTGGGATTGAGTCTGCAGGTTGAGGAAGTAGTTTCCATTCACCAGTGGTCAGTGCTGAGGGCAGGTCTCAGGTTAAGCCTTGTTTTTGGCTGGCACTTTAGTCAGTTGACTATTTGCAGTAACCCTCTTCTAGGTGTCTGGTGGTTGTGCATGAAAACTTACGTCTCCATCCAGAAGGCTTTTGGGGAACTTTACCATGTGAGGGTAGAGTGAGAGGAAACATCTGGGAGCTGAGCCCTAGCACATTTTCAGCTTAAGCAGCGCTGCAGCTTTGGAAAGGAGAGCACTCATTACTGGCACGTGAGGGCCTGATCTGTCGCAGATGTGAGCCGCACATGCCGAGCGTGTAGCTCTGCAGCACCTCATGGCACGAGGCCACGCGGTGAGGGATGATGGAGAGGCTTCGAGAGGCCATCTCGTGTGCCCCATGTTTTTGGCAGGGCCAAGTGTAGTCATCCCAGGGACATGAGACTGTCGTCTTACTGCTTCTAGTGACGGAGAGTCTTAATATAGAACAAGCATCCTTGTTTGCAAAACCTTCCTTTTATTTATTTTAAAAAATGTTTTTTATTGTGGTAAAATACATATAACATAAAATTTGCCATTTTAACCATTTTTCAGTGTACAGTTAAGTGGCATTAAGTGCATTCGCATTGTTGTGAAACCATCACACCGTCCATCTACAGAACTCTTCTAGTCTTGCAAAACCGAAAGTCTGTACCTGTTGAACACCAGCTCCCAATTTGCCCCCTTCTATCAGCCCCTGCTAACCCGTATTCTACTTTTTCTTTCTGTGAATTTCACTACTCTACCTCATATAAGTAGAATCAGACAATATTTGTCTTTCTGTGTCTAGCTTATTTCACTCAGCATATCTTCAATGTTCATCTACGTCATAGCATGTATCAGAATTTTGTTCCTTTTTATGGCTGAATAGTATTTCGTTGTATGTCTTTGCCACGTTTTGTTTATCCCTTCATCCTTGGATGGA